GGTTATCTCAACTACTTCTCAAAGAGTGCTCAGATACCAAAGTTTGTGATCAAAAGTCAGAGATCTCAATACGAACTCGATCATTTCTCATCAAACGATCCGAGTTGCTCTCCATATTCATTTTACAGCTCTATACTCTTACTGGATGACGACTAGGGTTCTGTTTTTAGGGTCAGAAACATCGGAGACAAAGTTGATACTTCAATGAAACAACAACCAAGAACATTACATCTCATGAGGTTTAAAAGAGCAAGTTTCGAGCAATACAAATAGCCCCTGTAAAGATGTTAAAGCAGAATCAGAGGTATTGCTAAGCAATAGTTTATTACCATTAGAATATTTTTGCATCTGCAAACTCCATTAATGGCATTATGTAACGCATCACTGTGCATGTTCACATTTATGCAGATTGATTCAGTAATGAGCATCAGAGGTCAAAGCAATCCGTCCGTCTCCAAGCCCAATCACAATAATGTAGGCATTCAGCGGCTAATGCATATGCCATTATTTACATCCTCAGTTGGGGATAATTAGCTATTCGTTGGTGATGGGAAAAATCGCCACCACAATGCCGTCTCTCGCGTTCGGCAAACAAAAGCACAAAGGCTTCATTTAAGGTGATATATTTGCTCGTGAAAATGGCTCAAATGTGTCACGGGCAGAATGGTGTAATAGTATAAAGTGCCTAGCAACACTTACATCACGTCTGGGCAGCAGACACACACACACACACACTCACACACACACACACTCACACACACACACACACCCTCCAGGGTAAGCGGAAATTGGTTTTATAGGCGCAGAAAGGCCCTTTGTAAACAATGCATATATCTGAGATCTCAGACGTTCTTTCATGAAAGTGAAGCGGCTCTTTGTGAACGTGTTTTTCTTTGCACCGAGGGCACAAGGGCGGCAGTCTTCCTCCGTCGCGCGCAGCTCGCAGGCAGAGGAGGCTGTGTTGACAAGCAGGGTTTACTCATGGAAAAAGCCTACAATGCACACTCTGTTCAGAGACTGACTTTGGATGCTAGTCAGCGCAGAACAAAGCCGGCTCAGTCTGGCGGCCCCTGTGTGGCTTTTTTTGGGGTAAGCCCTCTGGTTTAACATCGATTTTCGGTATATTTCATGTGAAGAGAAACAATGAGCCCAGCTCCAGTGCCGGGTGAGACTTCAGCACAACATCGGAGGGAAAGGTTGCAACAAATAGGTTGCAAATGCCATTTTGTACTTCAACGTGTGAAGTACAATTCAATGCTTTATTATTTTTCAATGCTTTTCAATGCTTTTTCTGTTCTCTCGCAAATGTTTCGTGGTGCTCGCAAATTCTTCCCCCAAGAAACTTTGGATTTGCTTGCAAAACTTTTGAGTTCTTTGCGAGCAAACGCAAAGTTTTTCAGGGGAACGCAAAGGTTTTGCGAGAGTATTATATTTTTTCTCCCATCTCTTATTTTTTCCATCACCGTAAAATATAATTCATTGATTTTTACCCATTCTCTCACAAATTCTTTTCCCACTAAATTTTGCATTTGCTTTCTCTATGGAACGCAAAGTTTCTCAAAAGAACACCAAACTTTTGTGAGAGAACGAAATCCCTTTAAGAGCAAATATTTCAGTTCTTTCGCCCTCGACTGCAGTCCTTGACTTGGTTCAATGATAAGTGCACAGTTTCTGTAATAAAATATAATCAACAGCTCACATGTGGCGTGTTTATAAACGCAGGACCACAGAATCTCTTCACATGATAAACCTGTCCGTCTGCCTTCAGATATGGACTTATGGAGATAAAGCAAACATTATATTGACTCCTATTTGTAATATATATTATATGTTGACACTTTGTAATATTTTCAATGATTATCCTGTCCGCCACAATAAATGTCTTTGAATTATATTCATACAGAGGCTTTTCAAAAAAAAATAAAAAAAAT